CAACACAGGAAATCCCGGTTTGATTCCAGGGTCGGGAAGATCCCCCGGAGAAGGGATGGGTTACCCACTCCAGTATGCGTGTGCTTTCCTGGTGGCTCAGCTGGTAAAGAATCTGCCTGCAATGCGGGAGACCTGGGATCAATCCTTGGGTTGGGAAGATCCCCTGGAGAAGGGAAAGGCTACCCACTCCAGTATTATGGCCTGGAGAATTCCATGGACTACATAATCCATGGAGCCGCAGAGTCGGACATGACTAAGCAACTTTCACATTCACTCCCTTCACACTTTCACTTCTGCCTCTCACATATTATTCTGCGACAAATTCTAGAGATATCATTTTATGTGTAATTAGTTTCATATGTAATGTTAAAGACGTTAAAAAATAACTTCATATTATTACTAACCAAACAAATGAATAATTTCTTAGTATCAAATTCTAGTGTTCAGACTTCTAATTGTCTGTTAATGCTCCTTGCCTTTTGTAGTCTGTTTGGATCCAAACTCATCTGACTCGTACTTTTTTAATCTGCATGTTCCCCTGCTGGTTTTCTTTTTCCCTTTGCAATTTATTGAGGAAATGCTACTCTTTGTTGTTCTTAAAAGTATTCTTCATAGTTTGTCTTACAATGTCTTTTTTTTTTAATCTTAGCTATAGTTGAGTGAATGACCTTTTCCACTTCTAATATTGTCTTTTTTCTACATTAATCTTGCCAGAAGTATGCTTGTTGCTATTATTTTTTAAACAAAAGGCCAGCTTTTGGTTTTGTTGAATCTTCCTTTTTATAAATTTTGAAGTTCATTTATCTCTGCTCTTCTATTATCATCCTTTGGATTCTTCAGTCATTCTTTTAGCTTCTTTAGCTGAATCTTAGCTCATTAAGTTTAAATCTTTTTCTTCTTCTAATATTGGTATTTATGATCTCAAGTTCCCTGAAGTACATTTAGGGATATCCTGTAAGTTACGATATGTAGTATTTTCACTGTTGCTAAATTTTTTTTTATAAATGTGTTAAAATTTTCATCCTGATTTCCTCTGTGATGTATCAATTAGTAGATGATATATTATTTCTCCCATCCAAGTACTAACCAGGCCCGACCCTGCTTAGCTTCCGAGATCAGACGAGATTGGGTGTGTTCAGGGTGGTATGGTCGTAGACGATATATTATTTCTAAACTTTTTAAAATTGAAGTTTAGTTGACTTACAGTGTTAATTTCTGCTGTACAGCAAAATTATTCAGTTATACACATATATAGGCATGTGTGTATATGTATATATACACATTCTAAAGATACAGTTTTCCAAAATGGTTTAACTAATCTATTGAATATAGTTCCCTGTGCTATATAGTAGGACTTTGTTGTTTATCCATTCTATATAATAGTTTGCATGTGTTAACCCCAAACTCCCACTCCATCTCTTCCCCACTGTCCCTCCTCCTAGGCAATCAAACGTCTGTTCTCCACATCTGTAAGACTGTTTCTGTTTTGCAGGCAGGTTCCTTTGGGTCCTATTTTATATTCCACATGTAAGTATAACCTACAGTATTTGTCTTTCTTTTTCTGACTTACTTCACTTAGCATGATAATAGCTAGTTCCATTCATGTTGCTGCAAATGGCATTATTTTGTTCTTTTTTTATGGCTGAGTAGTATTCCATTGCATACATGTAACACATCTTCATCCTTTCAACTGTCGATGAATATTTACATTGCTTCCATGTCTTGGCTACTGTAAATAGTGCTGCTAGGAACACAGGAAGGCACTACAGCTTTATCTGGATATATGCCCAGGAGTGCAACTCCTGGATCACATGGTAATTCTATTTTTAGTTTCTTGAGGAACCCCTGTACTGTTTTCCATAGTGGTTGCACCAACTTACATTCCACCAACAGTGTAGGAGCGTTCCCTTTTTTCCACACCCGCATTAGTATACACTATTTGTAGACCTTTTAACGACGGCCATTCTGACCAGTGTGAGGTGGTACCTCATGGTAGTTTTTATTTGCATTTCTCTAGTCATTAGCAATGTTGAGCACTTTTTCACATGCCCACAGGCCATCTATATTTTTTCTTTGGAGAAATGTCTATACAGGTTTTCTGCCCATTTTTCGCTTGGGTTGTTTCTTTGTTGAGTTGTATGAGCTGTTTGAATATTTTGGAAATTAAGCCCTTGTCAGTGCATTATTTGCAAATATTTTCTCTCATTCAGTAGCTTGTCTTTTCATTTTGTTTATAGTTTCCTTGGCTGTGCAAAAGCTTGTAAGTTTGATTAGGTACCATTTGCTTATTTTAATTATATTGCCATGGGAGACTGACCTAAGAAAACATTGGTACAATTTATGTCAGAGAATGCTTGCCTATGTTCTCTTCTAAGAGTTTCAAAGTTTGTTTTAAGTCTCTAACCCATCTTGAGTTTATTTTTGTGTATGTATGGTATGAAGATTCATTCTAACTTCAGTGATCTACAAGCAACTATCCAACTTTACTAGTGCCATATGGAGTTTTAAAGTTATCTTTTGGTTTCTGGTAGCTAATTTAATTGTACTTTTGTCACAGAATGCTCTGTATGTTACCAAGCACTGGTGTGTATGTGAGACTTCCCTTTTCCCATCCAGTGTATGGGTCAGTTTCCATAAATGTTTCATGCATGCCTGTGGAGAATGCAAAATCTCTGAATGTTGGGAGTTAGAATACCATGTTCCATTCGGCACACTGGGTTTTTTAAACCTAAGCCTTGACATTTTTTTTTTTTTGCATGCTTGATTAAATTATCGAAAGGTTAAAAGATTTACACATTATAATACTGTGGATTTGTCACAGTTTTCCCTTGACAACTGTCAATTCATGTTTTGTATATTTTGAGGCTATATTAATACATAAAATTTAAAATATATCCTCCTTATGAGTTAGTGACCATCTTGATTTCAATTTTAATCGTTATACTAGCTCTTTTAATATTTATTTCTCTGATGTTTTTGTATTATCAAAATTCTCTGTAGTTAAGCTAAAACAGATACATTTGGAATTTAACTGTAGCACTTGGTTTGATTACTATTTTTGCCCCCAGATACCTTAATTTTGTCCTAATTCTTGAATGACAGTTTAGTTGGACATGGAATGTTTGAATTTTAGATTGCTGGTTAATTTTTTCCCATAGCACTTTGAAGATGTTATTCTATTGCTTGCTGGCTTCTATTTTGCTATTGGTCATTCCTTTGTTATTCTTTCTAGGCAGTCTCTTCTCTCTTTAGTGGTTTTGGAGACATTCGTGTTGTCTGTGATGCTGAATGAAACTTAGGGTCAGTTAAGACTTTTTTCCCTTGCTTTGAGAATCACTGTATGTCAATGCCTTTTGTTATTTCTTAGGATTTTCTTAATAAATTGCCACTGTCTCCCATCCTCAAGCTACTTTCTGGGTAATTTTCTCAAATCTGTCTCTCAATACTATACTTTTTACTTGAGGAAGATCTATGTGGTTATTTTTTAAGTTTACTTGGTATTTTTCTTTCTCATATTTTGATAACTACTTGTTGGATATAAAAAAACACTTCAGATCTTGGGGATCTAAGAAACTTCCTGCTATTTTGTGTGCTAAACTTGCGGTGGGTTGTTCACCTATATGCTGTCTAATTTTGGGGTCTATTGTTTTATCTATGGTAATCTGTAGCCTACATGGCTATTTGTATTTATCTGTGCCAGATGCATCAAAAGGTGTAATAAGCCCAGGACCATTTTGTTCATTTTGGGGCTAAGTGATTCCTGGGCTGAACATGGAACATAAATTTACACCCCAAACTAATAAAGACAGGTTTCTAGGTATCAACTGTTAGGGGAGACCTCAGCCTCACCCCCATCCTGAGACTGAGCCCAGAAAGATAAGCTTCTTTTGTTACAACTTGTGCTCATGGAAGAGTTTGTGGTTTTTTTTTTTTTTTTTTTTACCATTTCAAGGCAATCATCTCCCTTTGTGGGTTCCAGCTTTATGTGATGAACCTCGCAAAGGCCACATGAACCCTAGGCTTTTTATTTGTCTCAGTGTGGGTAATACCACGCTCCTGCCATGTTCACCCGAGTAGTCACAGGTTACTGAAATCAGCAAGGGGCATTTGTACCATCAATTGCAAGTTTTCAGCTTATTGCTCTGGTTTATAGTTCATGCACTTCTAGTTCATAAGAATTATCTTCTTTAGGAGGGATTATCTATGCTTTAAAAAGGATGTCTATTATATATTATTCAATGCTTCTAGGTATTTTGTAACAGGTAGGTTTTCAGGTTATCTAATCCATCACATTACCAGCAACTTTAAATTTGATTTTTGTTAATTCTTTAAAGGTTTGTTCTCTTACCCTCACTCTTTTTTTCCTCTTTTCACACACACACACACACACACACACACACACATACACACACACACACACATATATATATACAATAAATACAATTTTAACTGTTACTATTCCCAGAGGTAGAAATTAAAAGCAAAAAGCAGTAGTAGTTAGGAACCAGTCTCAATCTGTCAGCTATGTAAAAGCATCCTTCCCTGTGGTACTTTTCAATAAAAATTCTACATGATTAGTAGAGGACAGCATGATAAGAACACAGAACTAAGACAATATATTTGTACTTTGGTTTTGACACTGTTATAACCAACACTGAGACCTCTGACAAGACACTTCAATCTCTTATGGCCTGTTTTACCTGCTCATGAAGATGTTTATGAATCTATGATCACACTGATCAATACCTGTACTGTCTGTCTAGGAATACACAGATTTTAAGAATCTTAAAATAAGAATATTAATGTATGTGTAAATTCCTAAAGTTTATATTGTAATTTATTTAACTAAAACAATGCTGATGTTAGATGTTCAATAAATTTTTAAAAAGTTGCAACATCAGTTTAACTAACCAGTAAATATCTGCATGAACTAAATAACACATTGTACAAACCACATCTTATTATGTTATTCTCAGAAGTGACTGCGTACTTCATACTACCTTAGCTTTTGGAGTGGCTTTAATCGTCCATATGCAGTCAACTGCTTGGCCAGGTTTTGTCTTTTCCTCTTGTTCTACCTGACTAGAACGCACTATTCCATCAGCTCCTGACAGCTCAAACTGGCAATCTAGAAAGAACAGATGAATGATGTTCAAAGGAAAATAAGACTAATCAAAGATGCCATGAGAAAAAAAAGAGGTAATATACTAAACCTGGGATGGGATTTAAAATACCTCCTAGGTAAGTAAAGTCTGGATCTGTAACAGAGAAAAGAAGAAAGTGATTGGCACTGAGATATTTTAGAGTTAATTTAAGGCTTAGTGTCTTATATCTAATGCTGCATTTAATAACAAAGCAAGAGAAAGCTTTCATTGGTGTATACTACAAAGCACTGCTCTCTTACAGGATTGATGTTTTTAAAAATGATAATGCTTATATTTTTGATATTGTGAATTAATAACTTATTTATGCTACCTGAAAACTTACAACTCTTTCTCAACTGCAGTAGCTAGTAGTAAGATATAGACTACAACGAAATATTATCCAGTCTTAAAAAGGAATGAAATTCTGACATATGCTATATAACATGGATGAGTCTTGAAAACATTATGCTAAGTAAAATAAGCCAGACAGTTAAGGACAGTGTAAGATTAAATTTACTGAGGTGCCCAGATTAGTCAAATTAATAGAGATTGTTTTCACAGGGTTGCAGGGATAGGGCAATTGGAGTTAAGTATTTCATGGGGACAGAATTTCAGCTTGGGAAGACAAAACAGTTTTGGAGATGGAGAGTGGCTATGGCTGCACAACACTGTGTATGTACTCAATGCCACTGACTTGTACATTTAACAGGGCTAAGATAGTGAACTTTATGTTACACATAATTTACTCCTGCTCACCACAGTAGTAGCTGTGAATGCGTGCGCTCAGTTATGTCCAGCTCTTTGTGACCCCACAGGCTGTAGCCCAGGCTTCCCTGGTAACTCAGGGAAGCAGGCAGGCCTGATGCCCACCCCACTGATATCCCCACTGATAGCCTTGGGCTTCCCTGGTGGCTGAGATGGTCAAGAATCAGCCTGCAATGCAGGAGACCCGGGATCAAGCCCTGGTTTGGGAAGATCCCCTGTAGGAGGGCATGGCAGCCCAGCCCAGTATTCTTGCCTGGAAAATACACATGGACAGAGGAGCCTCGGGGCTACAGTCCATGGGGTCACAGAGTTGGACAGGACTGAGTGACTAAGCTACAGGCTGTAGCCCACCAGGTTCCCCTGTCTTGCCTGGAATTTTCCAGGCAAGAATACTGGAGTGGGTTGCAATTTCCTATTCCAGGGGATCTTCCTGACCCAGGGATCAAACCCGTGTCTCTTGTGTCTCTTGCATTGGCAGGCAGATTCTTAACCACTGAGCCACCTGGGAAGCCAACTGTAGTAGCTTAATGAGCTGTATTTTCACAATGGCAGTAAAAAGAAAGATAACTAAATGATATATAGGATATTCTGCCCTGTGAAACAGTTCACAGAAAGTTGACAACCAATACTTTATATTGAAATAACTGATTTAATTAAATTGGACAGGTATTTGATTTTTAAGAACTAAATCAATTAACTGAATTGATACTTCAGCACCAAAAATACATCATATAAAAAAGTCTTACATAGAGTCAGGTTTTTGCAACTACGTTTAGACTACCTGAAAGAAAAAAGGTATCTTAATCATTTGAACAATGCTTTTAAAAATATTAAAAAACAAAGTCAGGCAACTTTATATGTAAAGATTCTTGGAAGAAAAGCAGTTCTTTTTCTATTATATGTATCATGAGAGCAACTTCATATGGTTTATGGTTAAAATATAGACACATTAAAATAAGAATAAAATGTTTAAGATTTCTAGACTAATTACCTTACATTTGCATTTTATAGTACATCAGAGTTTCTACATACCTTATGTTTAACATTATGCTACTAACAATAACATCAAGATCATCTAATATTCTATTTTATAGACGAGCAAACTGAATCAGAGAGGGATGATGACTGTTTTAGATAATATAATGGCAAAATCAGCAATAGATTCTAAATCTCTAAACAATTTTTCTTTCTCTATCATGTTACTTTTATAATGTGGGTGAGGATGCCACAATCTTACTACTAAAGAAAAAAAAGGTCAAAATAAATAGGCAACTCATGAATAGCTAAATCATGGCTATCTATTTAAACCATATTTATAAAATAATTTTGTCCAGGGATTTGTAAATGTGGATGAAATCTACTAATGATGAGAAACTAGTATCTCTTACATACATGAAATTCTCTGAGCTACTGGTGATATTTGTTGAGGCAGAGGCTCGTAATGGGTTCCTACTTCCTGGAAGTAACTGGAATAACTCTGAAAATTTTAGTGCAATAGTGACAATATCCCTAGAATTCTTGCCTACATGTGAAGTTCTGATTCACTTGCCAGATAGTTGCTGTGATTTTTTTACTCTAATGCTGGTTAAGATTTAGATTTCTCTTTGACACATCTCTGTAAAATTGGTGAAGTGTTGTTACTTTCTTTTATTTACGGAGGCTGGGTTAAGTTAAAAAAGAATAGTCTCTGTGATGTATTCTAAATTAAGCTAAAATTTTTCCTACATTTTTCAACATGTACTTTGATAATCATGCTGAAAGTCAATGGTCAAGATTCCGTGCTTCCACTGCAGAGGGCATGGGTTCAATCCCTGGTCAGGAAGATTTTGCATGCCATGGAGCATGGCAAAAAAAAAAAAAAGAAATTAACAAGAATTAAGCAATCAGTTACATATAAAAATCTGTCAATTAAAATAGGTTTAAACAGGCTAAAGATTCTAAAGATATTTTAGACTAGCAATTTTTTCATTCTGACAAGTTTATATATATGTCTCCTATGTGAATTTTCAAATTAAGTTTTTTTAGACATCTGTTTATAATTTTAAAATTTATTTTTATTGTAGTAAAATTTAATATTTACCCTTTAATCCATTTTTAAGCATACAGTTCAGTGGCATTATGTATATTCACAATGCTGTGCAAACATCACCACTCTCCATTTAAGGAAAAATTTAAGACAAATTTTAATATGATACAGCAAATTGCACTCCATGGTACTTAGCCAAATGAGTTAAAAACTTGTTCACACAAATGGCTGCATATGGATGTCTACAGTAGGTTTATCTGTGGTTGCTAAAACCTGGAAGCAGCCAAGATATCCTTCTACACAATAAATAAACAAACTGTGGTACATTCATATAATGAAGTATTATTCAGCACTAAAAAAAGAAAAGTTACCAAGCCATGAAAAAATACGGAGGAACCTTAAACAAATATTCCTAAGTGAAGAAGCCAGCCTGAAAAGGCTACATACTGTAGGCTATGTCATACTGCATGGCATTCTGGAAAGGGCAAAACTATGGAGACAGTAAAAGGATCACTGGTTGCCAGGGTTGGAGTGGGAGGGATGAATACGTGGGGCACACAGGGCTTTTAGGGCAGCTGGAATATTCCATATGATACTGTATTGGTAGATATATCATTACATCACTACATCTACCCAAACTCACAGAATGTATGGCAGCAAGAGTGAACCCTAATGTAAAGTGCAGACTTCAGGTGATGGTGCTGTGTCGCTGCAGGTTCATGAGTTGTAACAAATGTACCCTGGGTGCTGGATGTTCATCTTAGGTTTCAGCGGTAGCTGTGTGTACGGGGGTGGTTAGAAGGTATATCCTAACTCTGTAGTTTCTACTCAGTTTGCTATAAGCTTAAAATTTCTGAAAAAAAAAAAAAAAGTATAAATTTTACTTTCTGAAAGTGTTATCATTTTGACATTGAGAACTTAAATACTGAAGTGACACTTAAAACTAACAGGTAAAAAAAAGCTGAATATATTGTTCAGGGGAAAAAAAAAGACTAATAACAGTTGAAAGAATAGCATGATCTCTGCTATATAAAATAAAATAAAAAGATAAAAACATCTGAAGTGATACATACCATATTATTTATATTGGTTTTTTATTTATAGGGTGATAAAGTTATGATATTTTCATTTGGCTGTTCTAATTAAAAAATTTTTTTAAGTTAGTATATTTCTTGCATGAAAACATAAATAAAAAGATTATATGATTCTTACATTAAGTTATTTTTTCATCTTGTTAAATCTGTGAGTTCTTTGAAGACAGGAGTAATAACTAGTGTATCTTCGGGCTTCTGCATTAGGGATACGCTTACGATTACAGTGGACAGGTTCTGAGGACTACAAAGCGTTTCCACATAACTGCGGTAGGTAAGATGGAGATCCTCTCCCACCACCCAAATATATGTCCACATCACAATGGTCACAACCTATGACTATTACCCTATAAGGTTAAAAGGTTACCTTATTACCTTATAAGGTTAAAAAAAAGTGAATATTACATTCTAAGGCAAAGGATGTGATTAAGGTAAGCATTCTGAGAAGATGGGTGGGGGGAGCTGTGAAGATGGAGGCAGAGGTTAGAGTGATGAGGCCACAAGTGCAGGAATGCTGGGGCAGCCGCCAAAGAAGAGGCTAGGAAAGGATTATCCCCTAGAGTTCCTAGAGGGAAGTGACCCTGCTGGATGCTGGCCTCCAGAACTCTGAGATAATAAATTACCACTGTTTTCAGCTGCCAAGTTTCTGGTAATTACTTATGGCAGCCTCACGAAGATATTCCTATCTTATCAACAGCAATGCTCAGGCACAAGTCCTGCTTAATACTAAACTTTATAGCTAGCAGGTGGCACAGAAAAGATTCAAACCAGATCCTTTGCCTCTTAAGTACAGAGCACTATTCTTTCTACTGTTCAGTATTTTCTAGGGACTGTTTATTCAAATGAGTGTTTAATTCAACCATTCCAAAGGGAAAAAACCTGCCAAAATAATTTTTGGTAGAGATCATAAAAAGACAATTTGTTGAATTAATTTTAAAATCTATTTATTGTGATGTCTTTGGCCTTGATATATGCTATAAAACTTAAAGAAATCTAAGAAATAATATAACACCATATATGATATGCCTCAAAATTCAAGTGTTACAGCTCGATTTCTAATTTTTAAAAAATATTTATTCATGGGCTGATTTCCCTTTGACTTTGGTAATTTCTTTAAAACCTTTATTTGATAAACTTGACTCGATTTTCTGTTTTCTAGTCTTAAGATTCTAAAACCAGTCAGACCTCGCTACTAAAACAATAACTTATTTACCTGGGATAAATGAATATTTTGCTCGAAATCCCAGTCCTTCAAGTTCTTCATCAGAACTGAACTTAATCCACATGAATCTCCCTGTTGATCTAATTAATGGAGGGCTTTTCACACCACAGTAACGATCTATAAGTGGAGAGAAACCAAATGGCCCATCTCGAATTTCCAAGTGATCAAACCGACATTCAAATGATGGTTCTATATAATAATGTTCATCAAAGGTCAATTCTATTCTTTGACGTGGAGCAGCTAGAAAAAAAGATTAAGTAAATCAGGGCAAGTGAACAAGAAAAAGTAAAAATGTCCTGACACAGTGAGAAAAGTACAAACTGCTCTGTTACTGTTTTATAGATGAGGATCATACTGAAAGTTACTATATATAAAATTCATAATAAATGTTATATTATATGTTAATAATAATGCTATCTGTAGAATTACAGTAATCTTTCTCTTTGGCATATGCTATATATTAAATTAGTTAAATGTAGCAGCATGCTCAAAATTAAAAGAGTTGAGAAGCTAATGCTTAATTCATGAGATACAATGTACCATGATGGAACAGAAAAACAGAAGAAATGAAAGAAACATATGATGTAACTATGGACATAAATTTGTATAAAGCCTAATAAGAGATGTCAGTAAGTTTAAGTTTCTTATCAGAGAAGTTTCCCATATATACTGATGCATTTAGTTAAATGTATTTTAGGAGAATAAAAATTCTTATAAAATTTCAACCATTATTTTGTTAATGTTGGAAGTATTAAGAAATCTTTATAATGATTAGGATTTAACTAAAATACATATTTAAATTTTGTTCAAACTGGTTTAAAAAGAGCATTTAACCAGTTATTTAGTTTTACAAAAAAAGTTAACATTCATCCAATTAAAGACAGAAATTGGTCAAATACCTTCCAAAATGTAGATACATTCCTTGTTTGGTGGATATGAGTCAGGATAATTTGGTGAAGCAAAATGACCTCCATTGCTGGTTCGAACCCAAATGCCACACTGGGTTGCAGGAACGTGCTTCATTCCAATATTTTGTCCATCTTAGGGAAAGTTTAAAACATTAGTTACAGTTTCCCCTACAACTTCCCCAAACAACTGCCCACTGAGTTACACACACACAATTTTTAAGAACCATTGTCAAATTTAGCATAATAGATTGAAAACAGCAGAAGCATTTGCTCTAGAGGACAAATCTGCCATGTAAAAGAACAGTGAAATAAAATGCTTAGATTTTACAAGGGCAAAAACATGTAGGAGAATCTGATAAATTAGTAAAACACTATAAAATTCAATTCTGACACAAAAATAAAAGAATTCCAGGAGTTTATCTCAGGTATGGTACCTCCACATTTAGTTTAACTCAAAGTGAAATAAGATTTAAAGATTGCAAAGGGCTTTTATTTTAGTTAAACGTTGTAGATTGAACACATGCATTTAGCTCTGCTCCTTCTTCAGAGTCCACTTAAACAACAATAAATACTTTTTTTAAGGGCATAAACCCGTAAGTACAAATAGATAGATGCAATAATAACTACTGGCAGTAGTAGGTATCTCTAGAAGCGGAGGTGGAAGTGGTGAATTTGGGTATTTTTAAAAACATGAGGCTCGGTTAAAAGTCTGTGCAATCAGTTTGACTCCTAATGCCCTCTCCCACTCCACAAATCCAGGTAGATGCCGCTCTATCACCACATCAGAAAATAATTCTATTTCTTTGGAGAAAGCAAACAGGGTTGCTGGGCCAGGGAGCATCAGGCACAGCAGAAGGTGAAAGTACCAACATGAAGACAGGGAGATGCGCTGAACGGTAACATGCTGAACCACACTCCCCTCCTCCCCTGCCCCACTCAACTCCCCAAAGGCCTCTGGGTCAGATATAGAGCCTCTAAGCAGGAAATGCAATCTTAACCTTTTCTGGGGAAACTGATGAGTCCAAAGAAAAATATTCATAGGTGGATTCAATCATTCACCAGGAAAGGCAGCAGTAAAAAGCCCTGTCTACACTTGCAGACGGCTAACAAGCAGAGCACCAGACATGTGAGGGAAGCCTCCAATGTGAAAAACAGATTAAAGACAAATAAAAAAGCGACTCTGAAGAAGCAAAGATTTTAGAATATTTAAAAAAAAAAAAAAACACTAAACCAAACTACCATTTAATCTTCTCAGAGAACAAGGGAGTAGCTGGCCTTTGAACAACACAGGTGTGAACCACATGGGTGCAGTCTAAGTGTGTAGTGTGCGTCTGTAGTTGGCTGAACGTGAGGATGCAGAACCTCAAACACAGGGGGCCGTCAGCAGTCACAAGCAGGTTTCTGACTAACCCTAAACTCTAATCCTAGCCTCTGCACTGTTCAAGGGTCAAATGTGCATCTATAACACAAGAACACAGCATACTCTGAAAAAGAGATTATTTAGAAAACAAAAGAAAGTTTCTAAAAATAGAATTAAAAAAAAAAAAAAACAATTTAGAGCAGAAGTGGCTCAGACTGTAAAGAATGTGCCTGCAATGCAGGAAACCCAGGTTTGATCCCTGGGTCGGGAAGATTCTCCAGAGAAGGGAATGGCTACCCATTCCAGTATTCTTGCCTGGAGAATTCCATGGTAGACTACATACAGTCCATGGGGTCGCAAAGAGTCAGACACCACTGAGTGACTAACACTTTCACTTCCCATAAACTATGGCCTTGGACCAAATCTGGTCTGCTGCCTGTTACTGTAAAATCAAATTCAGTGGAATATGTACATGCCCATTCATGCTTTTACCCTACAGTTGCAGAGCTAGGTAGGTGCTCCTGTGGCTATAATGGCCTGCAAAGCCTTAAACAATTACTCTCTGGCCCTTTATAGAAAATAAGTTTTCCAATTTTTGGTTTAGAAGTCTCAGTGAAGGCTACTGAGAAGAAAACAGTTAAATGAGAAATGGAAAAACAGAAAAAATTTTTTTAAAAAAGTAACCAAATAATAAGAATTCCTTAAAGACAGGAGAGAAAATGGAGAAAAGGGAATTTTAAAAATTAAACAAGAAAAAAGGGAAAGAGAAATTTCCTACAACTAAAGATAAAATTATCTGATTGAAAAAGCCCAGTGGTGACTTGAACACATGTAACCAGAATTGTAAAAATACTGACATGGGTACTGCAGGTGCGAAGTTAAAAAGAACATTTATATGTAGCTGGGGGAGATGAGTAGGTACAAGAAAGAGCTAATTTCTTATCTTCCATGGTGGGAAAATTATTATCTACTACTTCAAACTGAAATAACTGAGAATAACCATATACTTTGTTATTCTGAAATATGCAGGAAAATATCAAAAGAATCAGCTAAGAGAGTAGTTTGGTAGGCTAGTAGACTACCATGGAGAAGTGGGGTTTGGGAGGCTGGTAGACTGATTTTTCCTAATTATCTTTTTAGAATGCTTTAATTTTTGTCAGGTGTATGTATAACTTTGATGAAAATAAGTCAGGTTATTTAGGAAACGTACTAAACTCTGAAATAAAAATCTGGCTCAAAAATCATACTAGCTAATCCTCTTTCATAAACAATAACTGGAACATGTCCTCAGGGGTTTGAATAAGATATTGATGGAAATATTTCATTTGTCTACACTGGAAAAAGAGATTTTTATTTTTTGCTTGGTGATAAAGCATGAATCTTATTTAATTTTTGGACATAATCCATAGTGTTCTAGGAGTCACCAGTTATGCAAATTTCTAAAATGTATCAGTGTAAGACTTTACACTGTAACAATTTACTCTAGTTAACTGCAGCTGAACCTGGCTGAATTAAAGCTGATAGATTGACAGAAAGCCTTAGGTCACTGAAACACCCCAGAGGGATTATGGAAATAGTACGCCAAAGTTGTAATCCTTCCAAAAAGCCATCCTACTGCTCTGAACATGTAGTAAATTAGCATTGTAAATTCTTTACCTTGGGTCTTTTGGGCCACAGCAATTCCTTCCACTACAAGTATTGTTACTAACAACACTAGAGAAATAAGAGAAGATAAGTTAAAAAGTTGATCTATATTAGATTTTACCAAGTTTATGAGAAAAATGAGGTGACCAAAAAAAAAAAAAAAAAACGAACTAAAACCTATTTCTTACTAACATTCACACTCAATACTATTAATTGTTATGTTCTTGAGTTACTATTTGACAAGACAACCCAAGAAAAAACACAATTGATATCACACTCATTTATACAAGCACTAATAAGTACATTTTCAATTTATGATGAATGCAAAAATACATACCTTTTTTTCCTTGTACAACGAACTGTGCTGATCCCAATTATCCTCTATTTACTGTACTCTACCTCCTCAGACCTTACACGCATTATGGCTAGCTTTGCAATATATTATGCCAGTGAAAGTTCAAGTAGATTATATGACTTGTAAGAACATTCATAATAAAAAGAGAAGTAAGGGGGCAGCAGTCTCCTGGAAATCAACTCTAGACATTCTATAGCTGTGCTACGCTGCTGTGTCCTGCGTTACAAAAGCTAGCACTACTTAGAAAATGGAGCTTCTCCCCTCCCCCCATGTTTAACATTTCTGACCCCCAATGAATAATCTACTGTTTTGTATATGTTTGTGTTTTGACGGTAACACATTCTTTTTAATGGTGCACTGGTATCTTTCACTCTCTCAATGGAAACCACATTATCAGCCTCTTGTGTGAAATGGAATTTGTATTATTCATTCAGTCAGTCAGCAAGCATGTCAGAGCACCTACTGGATAGCAGGCACAGATTAAGGCAGGAGAGACATAAAGCAAAACAGTTATAAGAGAATGGACTTCCAAGGAGTTAGGTGGATTTAGGTTTGGGGTTCAAATTTTGGTTTCTACCAGCTGTGAGACCTTTTCAGCTCAGTTTACTTGTTTGCAAAATGGGGATGCTGTACTAATAACACCAGCCACACAGGCTGTTGCGGAGATGAAATGAGATGATGATGATGCACACTGCACAGAGCCCTTTATATGTGCTAGGCATTCTGCTAAACCATAGATAGTAGGACAGACTTTCATCCTATTGTCAAAGACAATCTACAAGGTAAAAAAGAATTTAGCAGGGATTACACAGAAAACAACGGAAGCAGAAAAGGGAACCATTTGTTCATTCTGTTGGGGGTTAAGAGGAACAGAGTGAGGAAAACTTTAGGGAAAAAAGGTCTATTCTAGTGAAACCTAATAGAACTTCTACCCAGGAGAGGGAGAAAGAAATAGCTTAGACAATGAAATAGCTTAGACAATGAAAACTCACCTAGGAAGTGTTAGTGAATTCTGAGTAGGACAGAACAGTTAGCATGTGGAGGGGAAAAGGGATACATCAGGTTAGAAATAGCAGGATGAGGGTGTTCCCTGGAGGCGCAGTGGATGAGAATCCCCCTGCCAGTGCAGGAGACATGGGTTTGCTTCCTGGCCAGGGAAGACTCCGCACACGAGGCAATTAAGCCTGTGAGCCACCACGACTGAGGCTGCCTTCTGCAGCTACTGAAGCCTGCATGCCTGGAGCCCGGGCTCCACAAGAAACCACGGCGAGGAGAAGCCTGTGCACTGCAGCGGAGAGCGGCTGCAGCGCTGCAACTAGACAAAGTCCAAGGAGAGCAACAGAGACTCAGTGAAGGCAAAAAGAAAAAAAAGATGAGATCTGATTTTAAAAAGCCTTGAACGCCATGCTGAAGAGTTTAAACCTTTGACGACAAGGAGAAATAACTGAGTTTTCTTTTTTTAAACTAGAGCGTGACATTATCGCATTTGTGTTTCAGATCACTAATCTTGATGATTGTGTGGAATCTGAACTTTTATAAAGAGGGGCCATTTAGGAAGTAAAGATGCCCAGGTCTCGAAGCAGAGCAGTGGCAGTGTAAATGGGGAGGAGGAGACATTTATGACACGATTATGACTCAGATGCAGTGTTACCTGCATCTAGTAACTTAAAGGATGTTTAGGGGTGACGGAGATGGAGGCACAGAAGAGATTGCTAGTGAAGGGACTGGCAGATGGTCAAGCCATTCTTCACTCAGTACCATGTACTAGGCATCTACTACTCAAAGTCACCAATGTACTAAGAGTTCTTGTGATCTTGTGCTGTTTACATCTTCTAATCTAATCATACATCTTCATCTTTGGTTTGCTGTATCCTTGTTGACCTCTGTTTCCTCTGTCAACTCTCAACAACTTTAATTACCCCTCCTTTTCTTTGGTTGCTAGTAGTATTGAAGATCTCATGCTAGGTAGGAACAATCCTTTCTCCAAACTCTTCACATCTTTGCACTGGCTCAGAGTTAGGGGAATAGAGTTTTGAAACACTGTTTAAAAAAACAAACACAAAACACATAAGATTCCTGATCAAAAAGAAAAATCAGGGCATCCTCTAGTGGTCCAGTGGCTAGGATGCTGAGCCTCGTCCTCTGAGGGCCTGGGTTCAATCCCTGGTCTGGGAACTAAGATCCTGCAAGCAGTAAGAAAAGGCCAAAAAAAGAAAAACAAACTAGAATAATAATAGATATTTGACAATTCAGCAAATATCAAAACTGTATCAATGTATCTTGACAGAGGACACTATTTCCTAAGATATATCATCTCAGATGATATACAACTGGTCAAAATTTTGTGCTCATTGTACCTTTCCTCCTGATTCACAGGCATAACAATTTACCAGTTTTCACAGTTGTAATTCATAGTATGTAAGTAATACAAAGTCAGGCAGAAAGGGAAAGTAAGAAATCAATAAATCGAAACCAGGAGAACAGTAAAACTATGGCAAAAAGATGAATTGTGCTTGGAAAATTATACTATATAATGACTAAAAAAACCATGTCTTTTTAAAACATGATTTAGGTAATTTGCACACAATATACAACTGAGGTAGAAAAATCATATTAAAGATAAATTAGACCAAATAACCTTGTTATTCCTTCTACTTTATATAGGTTGTTGCTCATAATCCCCCTCCCCAAATGTTACTACTCACAACTCAATCAACCAAATGAACTATGCCACTGAATAAAAGGAATGGATAAGGCAAGTTTGAACAATTGGGGACAGAAATATATAGTGATAGCTGTGGTGATTCAGTTGTAACGATTAATCATTCTAAATTCTGTATCATAATAGACATAGTTTTCCCCCAGTTGTACAATAAGATCTTTGCAAACTGCTTGCTATAATCAGGCTGAGATATTAAAACAAACCCCACTGATGCCAAACATTGGAATTATCCAGTACGTGAAGCAGTGCTGTTGTGCTTTGTTCTGTCCTTAGCCCTGATCTATGTGTCACTTGTTCCCTTCTTTCTCTTACCAAAGGGTCAATAATTTCTCAAATCCAGAAAGATTTCACACTTTGAATTCAAAAACAACATACCCAGGAAGGCACTAATTCTTTAAAGCAGAAATCCATGCCAAAAAAAAAAGAAAAGAAAAGAAATTCATGCCAAATTAAAGATTCTAAACTCCACAACCCCAAAGTTTAGTTACGCAGAGAATTGCTTGCGATCTCATGTTTGAAAAAAGTAGTACCCACCAGGTGTGTTCTCACCTCTGATTTTGGAGTTTAGTGTAGGGTACTATACAGATCTGACTTAAACATGAAGGCCTAAATGATAAAGACAGGTGCTCTTCAAGGTATTAAATAAAACCCTCCAAGCTACTCCTCTTAACCCTGAATCATTGTTATTAGCATTCCACCTGCAATCTTGTCTCCAGACCTTCCAGTTTAAGGCTGTACTTTTCAATCAAGTAAAAATCAAGGTCAGGTTTATTCTTTTCACTGTTACTTAATAGTGGCAACTCTGGCCAATACAATAAATACTGGAAAGGAGGCAAAACTATTATTTATAGACAATGTTATTTTAAAACCCACCAAGTCCCAAGATAATTACCAGGAAAATTATTACAACTATTAAGGGAAGGGCGTAAGACTAAAATAAATTAAACAAGTAAGTAAATAAATGTAATACAATAGAGAAGTAATACATTTTGGAATGTATTGGAATGAAACACATTGGAATGAAACGATGTAAAGATAACAATTCTTCCCAGTAAGTCATATAATATTTAATGATGTTTTAATAAAAATCTTAGCTTTTTTCTAGATACTTAAAATGCTTCTGATGGTCATCTTAAAGACTTTTCCGTATTGGCCAAGAAAAATATAAAAAAATTCATGAAAATAATATGCTTAAAATAATAATGCATAAAAATAATAAAGCTACAAGAATTGTAAAATGTAGCAATGGTGGAGGAAAAAACTGGTATCTGTCAACAAACATTACTAGCATTCACTGCATTACAGGTAGCTGAGTCAGTCCCTGGAACTACAATGAAACAAAAAGACATGGTCTTTATTCTCAATGGGCTTCTAGGTTAGAAAATGGAAGAAAAGAAAAAAGCTCAGAAACAGACATATATGTCCCAGAATTTATTACAATTTATATAATATTTGAAATACTTGTTGAGAGGGCAGTTTTAATGAATGGTTCTGGGATAACTTGTCAATTATTTGGAAAAAAAGTAGATCCCCTTTTCAAGCTAAATAGAAAAATTAATAGCAGAATGAGAAAAAGGTGAATTCATACTTTTGGGTAGGGAACAACTTCATTCACAAAAGACTGAAACATAAAAACTACAAATAAATGGGAAAAAAAGATTATGCCACTAGAGAAAAGAGCCAAGAAAAAAACAATGGAGAAATTCAGCCTTACTAATATAAAAAATACAGATTCTAGTATCGGTCAGGATATAGGAAACTGACTTACGTTGTCACTGGACTGTAAAGTGTCACAGCTTTGAGGAGGCTAATCTGGTAACATATATCGAGGATTAAAAATGTACACATCCTACTCAGTTCTTCCATGTTTGAGAAATAAATTACTGGGACAGCAGTTCTCAAACTTTAGTGTGGATCATATTCACCTGGAAGGTTTATTAAAACACAGACTGGGGGGGGGGGGGGGGGGGGCGGCGTGTGTGTATGTGTGGCATTACTTCCAGAGATTTTGATCCAGTAAGTCTGGAGTGGGGCTTGAAAACTTGCACTATAACAAATTCCCTAGTGACGCTAACGCTGTTGGCCCTGGAACCACACTTTAAAGACAGCTTCAACAGGAAAGTGATAGTATACAGAAAGAAACAAAGAGGCTGAGCTGCTTCTATCTTACTGTTCAGTTGTACACGACTTCATTCCCAAGGTCATCTTATGGGCCAGTATAGAGGCTGGAGTGCCAAGTACTATATGTTTACAGCTACCATGCCTGCATTACACTTAGCAAGAATGAGGAAATGACACAGGGCATTCCTCCTTCCTTTAAAAACATTTGCTTAGAATCTACCATGATGTCAAAACAAAAATTCTAACTGAGTAACAAAACCACCACCACTCCCCCAAAGTTGAACACACATGTAACTGTCGGACTTAGTCACATGGGCATACCTAATCCCAAGGAAACCTGGAAAATCTAGTATTTATTTTGGGTGATCGTGTGCTTAAAGTTCAGAGATCCACTGAAAGGTAAAACGGATATTGGAAGAAAACTGGTTACTTCTGCCATAGTCTCTTTTATTTTATTTTTCATTTATTTTTATTAGTTGGAGGCTAATTACTTTACAATATTGTAGTGGTTTTTGCCATACATTGACATGAATCAGCCATGGATTTACATGTGTTCCCCATCCTGAACCCCCCTCCCGCCCTCCTCCCCACCCCATCCCTCTGGGTCATCCCAGTGCACCAGCCCGAGCACTCGTCTCATGCATCCCATAGTCCCCTTTAACCTACTCTGTACCCACCAGCCAGTGATCCTTTCAAAATATAGATCAGATCACATCACAGCCTTTCATAAAATCTTCCAACAGAGTCCCATTCCATTTAGAATAAATCCATACTTCTTACTCTGACTTCAGAAGTCCTATGTCCTGACCATCCTGCTGACCTTCCGACTGCTAGCTACAGCTGCAAAGGCCTTTCCATTACTCCAACACACCAAGCTAACTCTTGCCTTAGGGACCAGTTATTCCTTCTGCCCAGACTCACGCTGCATGGCTGGTTCCTTCCTGTGACTCAAGTCTTGTGAGGGCTCTCCGACAGCTAAAGAAGCTCCATATTTTCTTCATCTTGTTTTATACATAAACAAATACATAAATAATAATGCACAACAAACAAATACATAAATAGTATTTCAATTACGACTTATATTACCCACTATTATTATCTGTCTCTTCCTACTAGAAAGAGGGACTTGTCTGATTCACTATGCATCTCTAGTGACGAGAAGACTGGCTGGCCCACAACAGCACTCAAAATTAGATGAATATATGAAGTGACTAAGCATAATCCTGCTTATATCTCCTTTGTAACCACAACACACAGCACAGAGAGCCAGGCTAACAAATTAACAAGCACAAACCTTGGTTAAGAGCAGGCACACAGATGACCCAGCTTCTTTCCTTTGAGCATAAGTCAGGGGACAGAAAGAGAATAGATTGTTTTCCTTTTCAGATATGCTACTTCTCTTACTTTTATCAAGCTAACTCACTTTACCTTTGTTAGTAATTAAACATACCTCTTTCTAAGCTTTCCTGTTTTCAGCATCCAAGTGGTAAAGGTAAGGTTTGGTAAACTTGTCATGAGATCCCATAATGTAACAACTGCCTACCTGGTCTCCCTGCATCTGTTTTCTGAAGCAGAACGGAGTTAAACTGGAGTCCATATACTTGAGGTAGTAGTAACTTTTTGTTCCAAAGAACAAAAAAGTACCCTAGTTTAATCAAACTCAATTTTACTTTTTAGTTAAGAAGGAAGATGGAGCTTGAAGAACTCTGGGATCACTCCAACCATTTCATGCTAATCACACTGCCAATCACTTCAAAGAAAGCATAACTGCAGAAGTGCTTTTTCTTGCCTGCAGAATGTGACAACCTTCTTGTTAGTCAAAACGCTCTGGAGATGGCAGTATAGTTGTATGCTCTAAGAACATCGGAGTCTTCCTCAGACATCCACAGCAGCTACCATCGGATTTTAACGGGACCAGGTTACATTTTGATGAGTATTTTTGATGTCTTCTTACCCACTAACACTGTAATTTCCAATATATTATCCTGGGCATACTTAAACCAATATATTTAAATGTCATTTTGACTAGGACAAATTGAACCTTCAGATTAGTACACC